ACACGGGCACTGGGGAGTAAGAAAGCTACGGCAGGCTAAGCATGCCTGCCTTTAATCCTGGCACTCAGGAGGCAGAGGCAGAGGCTGGTGGATTTCTGTGAATTCAAAGCCAGTCTGGTCTATATATGAACATCTGGGATATCCAGATCTACATAGTGAGACCTTGTCTCCAAAAAAAAAAAAAAAAAAAGTTTCTGCAGGTATGCATCTGAATACTTCTCAAATTCAAGACAGTTTCTTCCAGGGAAACAGAACTGGGAAGGACACAAGGCCATTTGGATCAGTACCAAGAGATTACACAATGAACAGGACCATGATAACTTTGCTTAGTCACAGTCGTTCACGCTTATTGGTGGCAAGTCAAAGAACGCTGTCTACTTCAATCCAGGCTTGATGACAACCCACACGGGTTGATGCTAAGTTCTACGGACAGCCGTAGAAATCCACACCAGAGAACAACATGTTACCCAATCCGGATTGCACACATATGTTGACGTCACAGATAGATACTGGGGTAATTCATGGAGACAGTCCTTTCCCGGTGCCACTGAGGGGACCTGAAGGTGTCTGACCTCACACGGCTACTTTTTTTTGCTTTTGATGGTTTTCCAGATGTGGGTGTGTATCTGTGCATGTCTGCAAGTATGCCCACACATGTGTGTACGTTTTGTCATGCATGTGGTGTCCTGAGATTGACATCTATCATCTTCCTCAGCCCCTCTTCACCCGATTCATTGAGCAGGGTCTCTCAATCGAAGCCAGAGTTCACTGATTCAGCTAGTCTGGCTAGTCAGATTGCTCTTGGGCTCTCCTCTGTCCGCTTTCCAAAGCTCAAATTACAGGTGGGCAGCCACACCCACATGGCATTTATGTGGGCTCCAGGGAGCCAAGGTCCAGTCCTGATGCTTGGATAGCAAGTGCTTTAACCACTGAGCCACCTCCCCAGCGGTTTGTCAATGACTCAGACACAGTATGTTGCTCAATTTTATGTAAGTTCCAGCCTTGTTTACCTAGTATTCATGGTATGTATGTGATATACAACATTTAGGAGCCATGGTTTATACATGATATATAACATTTAATAGCCATGGTACATACATGATATACAATATTTAATATCCATGGTGTATACATGATATACAACATTTAGAAGCCATGGTATGTACATTATATATAAATATATAAATGTTATATACATGACATATAACATTTAATAGCCATGGTACATATATGACATGCAATATTTAATATCTATGGTATATACATGATATACAACATTTAGGAGCCATGGTATATACACTATGTACCAAGCAGGTGTTGAACATTATATGTACCAAGCATATAATGGCTCTTCTTCCTCCCTCTTTCCCTCCCCTTCTTCCTTCCTCTGCCCCTTTCCTTCCTTCCTTTCTCCTTCCCTTCCTTCTTTGTCAAACATGAGAGAAGCATGAGATTCAGAGTGGTTAAGCCTCCTGTCCAGAGGTAGGACTGCTGCCAAGCAATGGGAACAACTCAATCCACTTGCTACGCATGTGCATACACACACACACACACACACACACACACAGAGGGGGGCATGCACAGAGGAAGACACACACAGAGAGAGACAGATAGACACGCAGAGACAGACTGACATACACAGAGAGAAAGAGTCAGACACACACACAGAGACAGACAGACAGACACACATACACAGAGACACACAGACACACAGAGAAACAGACACACACAGAGAAACAGAGAGACAGACAGACAGACACACACAGAGACAGAATACAGACAGACACAGAGAGACAGACATACACACAGAGACAGAGAGACACAGACAGACAGACAGACACACACACACACACACATGGGCATACACATGCACAGTTACATATACACACACATACAGAGAGAGAGAGAGAGAGAGAGAGAGAGAGAGAGAGAGAGAGAGAGAGAGAGAGAGAGACTCAAACCACTGAGGATGTTTTTACAGTCCAGGATCAGGATTCATGGGGTTTCAGAGGTTCTAAGGTTAGGTATAGCTAACTGGAAGCTCCTGGAAGCCACCACTGTCACCACCCTGAGTCCCTGAGTCGTCCCCACGATGTTTTCATTACACCGTGACTGTACATTTCCTAACAGTCCCCAGTCACTGCTCTGCTGAGTCTTCATCCTGTTGCCCCTCTAGACCACAAGAGCAAGCGTGTATCTTATTCATTCCATTGACCTGGCTGCCCAGTCCCACACCCAGCAGAAAGAGCGGGACTGTTTGAAGGAAAAGGAGAATGACCCACGCAGAGGCAGCACTTACTTTTGGCTTCTACTTACTTGCTGGTAAGGAATGCTTCTCATGCATCTTATCCAAAGGCACAGGGGGACACCTACATGCTTGGTCCGGAGATGGCATAAAGGAAAATATTAGAGCCAACTATGCCCAAGTCCCAGAGACCCCAAAGACCACCAAGGAGCCAATCCCGATGTAAACGCATAAGGGTCTTTATTATAAGCAAGGACTCTCACCGTCACCGTCACCGTCACCGTCACCATCACAGCGGGTCAGAGTGAGAGTCTCAAGTCTAGCGGTGCAGGGAATTTATTATAATTAGCAATCTTGGGGAATTTCCATACAGGTCAGCAAGTTAATATTTTAAAAACTGCATTTCTGGTGTAATCTGCAGGAACCGAACATGGGGGCCAAGCCATCTGACAAACAGGATGGCTACTTTCTGCAGCATGTCTGGGGTTATCTATATGTACCTTGATCCTACTGTTATAACCTAACTGGCTACTGGGTCTAGGAGGGTATGGGGTTTGGGGGGGTGCAGGGAGTATGATGAAAATACATTTTCTGGCCGGGCGGTGGTGGCACACACCTTTAATCCCAGCACTTGGGAGGCAGAGGCAGGCAGATTTCTGAGTTCGAGGCCAGCCAGGTCTACAGAGTGAGTTCCAGGAAAGCTAGGGCTACACAAAGAAACTCTGTCTTGAAAAACAAAAACAAAACAAAACCCTTACCCATATTCCACGTCCCATCTGACAATGCATTCTCTTTGCCAGTTTTCTTAACTCCCACATTTTCTAACAGTTGGTATTAAATTATAACCTTTAAATTGCTTTTTTAAAAGCCTTTGAAGACACAAAGGTCTGTTCTTTAGACCAAATGTTGTTGATGATGATGTTGTTGTTCTTGTTAGACACTCATCCTTAATAAAACTATGATTTCTTCTGGCTGTCTTCTCAGTTTTGGTCCAATCTTTACTTCAAAGTGTCATAAGAGGCCTAGCGAAGTGTGAAACATCATTCCCCACACCCCTACTCCCTTCCCTCACCTTTCTGAGATGTTAGATGTTTAATCCGGGAATAAAAAGGGTCAAACTGAGCATGAAATGAAAACTAAAAAGGTCTGAGTCTTTCTCAAAACTGTCTTTTCAGACTTCTTCATATAGGCCTTCTTCCTGTATATATAGGCTGCATCTGCATATACAGGTCTTCTGGCATATAAAGGCTGCTTTGGTCTCCTGCATACAAGGGCATCTGAATGTGAAGGCTCCTGGATATGAGGGCATCTTTTGTAAATGTAAGTTTCCTCAACCCATCTATCTGGGCTTCCTCAGAGCCTGTATCAGGCCACTGACAGCTAAGTAAAGTCGTACCAATGTTCAAGCACTGGTCTCCTATCTCTGGGATTGCCTCTGCTAAAGGCTATTTGTTAAGGTTTGATCACCCAGGTCTCAGCTTCCTTCCTGAGAAATCCATAAGTGTCTATGTCCCAAGTTTTCTTTCTGTGTGTGTCTGTCTCTCTGTGTGTCTCTGTATATGTGTGTGTCTGTCTGTCTCTCTCTGTCTCTCTGTGTGTGTCTGTTTCTCTGTGTGTCTGTGTGTCTCTGGGTATGTGTGTCTGTCTGTCTCTGTGTGTGTGTGTGTGTGTCTGTCTCTGTGTGTCTGTGTGTCTGTCTGTCTGTGTGTCCCGGGCAATGGGACAGTAGATCAGGACAATGATAAATACAGCAACAGACCAGAATGGAGCATGCTACCACAACCAAGGCAACTTATAGCAGGAAGGGTTGGCTTGGCCATCATGAATGGGGAGGCAGGACAGCAGGCAGGTGTAAGTCATGGGAGAATGAAGCTAAGAGAACAAGTAAAGTAGATCTTCAAGTAAGACTATGAAGCAGAGAGCCCTTGGAAACCCCAGAAACCAGTGCCACCAACTCGGCACCAAGTGTTCAAATACCCAAACCTATAGGATATATTTCTCATTCAAACCATCATATAGGGCCCAGGAAGAAGATTCAGTGGGTAACTGGCTTGCTGTGCAAACATGAGAATCCAAGATGTCAGGACCCATATGGTGGACATGTCTGTGATCCCAGCACTGGGGGGATGAAGACCAGAGGACCCTGGACAACTCCCCGAGTAGTTAGAGTAGCAAAACAGTGAGCATGCAGAGTCAATGAGAGACACTGCCTCAAAAACACAGGATGGGGAGCTACAGAGGAAGACGCCTAGAATCAGCATCTGGCTCCCAAGCTCAGGCAAGATGTGCTCACTGCCCACACCCATGCACACACCCCAAAAAGAACCACATAAATCCTTATAAATACAACTTCACTTGTAATTTTACCTACCAGCTTTACTCTGTATTCTGAATAACAATGACATTCAAAGAAAAATAATCAGTATTTTATTCCTGTTGGGGGTTGGGGGTGGAGTGAGACAAGGTCTCTCTATGTAGCGCTCAGTGTCTTAGAACTCACTACGTAGACCAGGCTAGCTTTGAACTCACAGAAATCCACCTGTCTCTGTCTCCTCCTAAGTGCTATGATTAAGGATGTGCCCCACCATACCCGGCTAATGTTTCACTTGTAACAGTGGGAAGGCTGCACAAAAAAAGAAATCCCACTTCAACTTATGTGAATCCTGTTTGCAAACGGTAAAGGACTAAGAAACTTATTTATCGCGTGTCTAGTTTCTAGACTAGATGGGTGATGTCACCAACTCAATGCCACACATCATATTAAAATGTAGAACTTTATTCACTGGCAGTCAGTTTGAAATTTGCACCCGGAGTAGAGGACGTCGGGTTTTTAGGACGTTATGACAACATACATAATGGACATTAAGTCCACGAACAAAACAAAGAGAATTTTCAGAAGCCGTCCCAGAATCTCATCTTCCAGGCTCTGGGGTGAAGTAGTAGAAATCAATATCCAGTTTTTGCCACTCATGTTCAGAAAGTCCTGCTCCCTAGAAAACAGAAAAAGCATAGTAAATATCCTGCAATAAGCAAGTGTAGATTCCTTATTTCTGTGGATGAAGACACGCCTTCCAAGAAATGTTCCATCTATTTATAGCCAATCAGTAAACTAAGAGATTTTCACTCACTTTGGCAACTTTATATCACAGTCATTAGCTTTTTGGTTTTATCATTTTTTTAATTTATGCATGTCTGTGTTTCAGTATATGCACATGAGTGCAGTGCCTTCAGAGGCAAAGAAGGATTTAGATCCCCAGTAGCTGAGGTTACAGATGGTTGTGAACCACCTAATGTAGTGCTGGGAACTGAACTCAGGTCCTCTGGAATAGCAGTATTTGCTCTTAGCCACGAAGTCGTTGTCTTAGTTTACTGCTGTGATTGGACACCATGACCAAGGCAACTCTTACAAAGGACAACATTTAATTGGGGCTGGCTTACAGATTCAGAGATTCAGTCCATTATCACCAAGGCAGGAGCATGGCAGTTCCCCGGCAGACATGATACAGGAGGAGCTGATTTCCACCTCTTGTTCTGAAGGCAAACAGGAGAAGACTGGCTTCCAGGCAGCTAGGACAAGAATCTTAAAGCCCATCCCCACAGTAAAATACCTATTCCAACAAGGCCACCCACACTCCAACAGGGCCACACCTCCTAATAGAGTCACTCCCTGAGCTAAGCTTAGTTAAACCATCACAGTCATCTCCAGGCATTTATTTTTCCATGTGCCAAACTTGTCTCTCTTTCTACAAGGAATGGGTCAAGAAACTTCCACCATGATCATCTTCTTTTTAGCTGTCTACCTTGCCAACTAGGGCTCCCATGAGAGAAGCCTATGAAGTCACAGGAGATGCAAGCCATGACAACATCCTTCAGTGACGAATGGCACAGGGTCTTCCTGACTTCCTCAGGACCACTCTTCCATGTGCTGGCCACTGTGTAGAGCACCATGAAGCATACTTTCCTCCAGGTCTCTCGGTTGTAGAAACTTTTGTTTTATTTTGGTTTGAAGAGCTGGAATCTTAGACAGTCATAATCTGTGATTGACTTTCCACATTGCTGGAACTTTTTAAAAAAATATATATTTATGTGAGTACACTGTTACTGTCTTCAGAAGAGTGCATCAGATCATTTTACAGACGGTTGTGAGCCACCATGTGGTTGCTGGAAATTGAATTTAGGACCTCTGGAAGAGTACTCAGTGCTCTTAACATCTGAGGCATCTCTCTGGTCCTTTGCAGGAACTTTTTAACTGAACCGTCTAGTAGGGGGTTAACAGCATTCTTAACTTCCTTTCTAGAAAGTGAGTGGGCAAACAGACCCTTTTGAGAGGGGAGATATATATATATATATCTCCCCTCTCAAATGACCACAGATACCTTAACAAGGTGGCAAGATTTGCATCCAACATTCTTCACTCAAACACAGAAAATGCAAGGTGTGGGCTAAGAGAGACAGAGGAACACTGTGCTCAAATGTCCTCCCACTTCGAGGAAATCTTCATTCCTTTCTGTAACAACTCGCTCCGTTCACCAAGCTCACAACAACCGCTGCAAAGCAAGTTCCTAGAGTCTTTTCTACACTCAACAATTCCTTTTGCTTGCGGTTCAGCCAAGGGGGAGGGGAAGGGAGGGAGGGAGGAGGGGAGCTCAGGAATGACACACAGGTTCAGGAGCAACCTTCCTCCATCAGGTAGCTTCAGCCTTCAGCCTCAGTGTCCTCAGTTATGACTCCTCTGGGGTCCTTTCTATTCTCTCTACGGTGTTTTGAACATGCTTAGCCCAGAGAGTGGCACTATTAGGAGGTGTGGCCTTGTTGGAGTAGGTGTGGCTTTGTTGGAGTGGGTGTGGCCTTGTTGGAGGAAGTGTGTCACTCTGGGCATGGGCTTTGAAGCTCTACCCAGTGCGGAAGAGAAAATCTGTACCTTGCTTCCTTTGGATGAAGATTTAGAACTCTCATTTCCTCCTGCACCATCCCTGCTTGGACACTGCCGTGCTTCCCACCATAATGATAATGGACTGAACCTCTGAATCTGTAAGCCAGCCCCAAATAAATGTTGTCCTTTATAAGAGTTGCCATGGTCATGGTATCTCTTCACAGCAATGGAAATCCTCCCTAAGACACTGTCTAAAAGCAGGAAAATAAGAGTAACAGACAAGTGGTGGAGACAGGGATGGCAAGACAGGCCATTTCTCACCTGAGAGCCTCAGGAGGTGGCAGGTAGCACAGCTCTACCAGTTTCCAGCTCTCCTCTCCTGCCCTCGCTGGACCAGAGTGCTGGGGGGCACAGGTGTTCTCCTAGCAATCTTGGTTCCTGTGTCAAAGCACACAGAAGGTTTCATTGGACTCCAAAGTAGTCCAGCGAACAGAGGCACATCCCCCTGCTCTGGAAACTGCTACAGGACTTTAAAGGACACAGGGAAGGCTGTTGAAGATGGGAGAACAGGACATTTCCAATTTCATTTAAGACAGAATTCGGTGGCATAAAAACTAAAATCTTAACAGAAACATTAAACCAAACTGAAGGATTTTCCTTGTAGGGCACACTTCCACTATACTTTCTAAGGAAACAATTCCCTTGAAATTGTATTTGAACGAATGTTTCAATATCTTTACCACAAAACATAAATACATGTCTATGTAAGAGATTACAACTCCCAAGACTACAGGGTTGGTATTTAAATATTATGAACTTTACAGAGTAGAAAATAAGGCGGTGGATTTATAACAACAACAACTAGGCTGTAAATACGACTGCTATACCCCTCAACCATGGAACTAACCTTTGTGTACTGGGGTGGTTTGAATATGCTTGGCTCATAGGCCCATACTGTTGGGAGGTGTGGCTTTGTGGGAGGAAGTGTGTCACTGTAGGAGTGGGATTTGGAGGTCTCCTCCTATGCTCAGGCTCCACAGGTTACAGAAGAAACCCTCTTACCTGCCTAAGAGTCGGTCAATCTGACTGGTTTCAGATCAAGATGTAAAACTCTTGGCTAGACACTGCCATGCTTCCTGCCATGATGACAGTGGACTGAACCTCTGAACCTGTAAGCCAGCCCCAATTAAATGTTGTCCTTACAAGAGTTGCCTTGGTCACTGAGTCTCTTCTCAGCAATGGAAACCCAAACTAAGACATGTACTTTGTGTCTTGAATATAAAGTTGATGTTGTGTTCAACGGTACTCAGTGCAGGATTTTTCCTGCCTCAGTTACCATATCCCAGCTCTCTGATAGGCTATTTCTCTGAATAGGTTAAGTGACTTCTTTTCAAAAGTTATTGGGACCAGTAAAATTTTCAAATTACATTTTCTTGATTTTAAGTCATTTTATACATATGTTATATGTTGAGTGAGGACTCCAGGTCTAAACATATGGTTCATCCATGTCTCAGTGTGCAGCTCCTATAAACACTGCTTTTAACACAAACACCCTTCTAGTGCAGCTCAGCCTGTCAGAATGGAACTTGGAATCTTCCAGTTGTAGAATCTGACAGTCAGGGAGTTTGAGAGTGTGGGTTGGGGGGGGGGCGGTCTCCATCTCTATTCCATATCAGGCAAACAAGTGAGGATTATGGGAAGTAAATCACATACTTAACGCTTGTGCCAAGTAAATACATACAGGTAAGTTTTGAATTATTTGAATTACAGAAAACCAATTAGAAGATAAGGAACGGCCATCAAACCATGACTCAGCCGTAGACAGAACATAATCTACTCATTAAAATGATGGTACACATCATGAAGCCACAGAGACATCACTTAGAAGATGATGCTTAAATATTCTTAAATTGTCTCAACGTCCCTTACACTCCTAAGCATCATTCTCTTCGAAAGAACCTCACAGCTTCCTTCGGAAAAGCCATGTATCCATATGATCTTCATGATTTCTTCAACTGCATGGCTTCTAGGGACTTGGACCTGACTGGGCAGTAGGGGAATGAAAAAAGACAAATATGGACAGAAACACAGATGAGCTCAGATCAGCTGGTCTGGGCTCTTAGCTGGAGAAACCACAGCATTCTGGAAGCTCCGTGTATTTATTTTATATAAATGTATATTATGAAAAGAGAGAAGGGGTTATTACACGCAGATAAGGACCAGGGGTTACTGCATACAGATAAATGAGGAGGTAGGGTTATGTTATACAGCTGGATTAAGGGGACAGGTGTAGAAAATTTTGGTAGGTATAGTCTCTGCAGGGGAGCAGTCTTTATTCCATAAACACCCAGGGAGAGAAAGCTATGGTGGACGGTCTCTGCACACACTGTCACCATCCACACAGAGACCATTTCCCTCTGAGCCTCACCCCAGGGGAGATGGCTTTGCCATTTTCTTCAAAGGTCTGAGGCTCTGTGGACCTTGACATAGCCACACCCATGTCAACAGTACACATTCACTCAGGGCTCTCTGTGCTCCTTGCAACTCAGGGGAAAGAGATAAATAGTGGCCTAGACATAAAATGGAATGTCATACTATGATAGAAATTAAACTACAGCAATAGGTAAAACTAGGATGGGCCTTACACAGACAAAATTGAATCTCCTTTAGCAAGGCACAAAAGCAATACAAAGCATCAACTTGGAGACGTTTACATACGGTAGAATGTTTGGGCCTTGTGTCCAGTGGAGTACATACATACCCGGGCAGTAATGGGTTAAAGGGCACGGGATGAAGAAGGGAGTGGACGCTGATTTAACGTTCTCCCTGGAACAACACATGTGACAAGAAGCAGCTTGAAGGGGTGGGCTTATCTGAGCTCATGGTTTGAGGGGATACAGTCCCTCATGGCGAAGCAGGAGCATGAAGCAGCTGGTCGTACTGCTCTGTAGTCAAGAAGCAAAGAGAGATGAAGACTGGTCTTCAACTCACTTCTCTTTTGCATTCAGTCCATGGGCGATGGCCATCCCTAATCAGGATGGGCCGCCTCTACTCAGTTAAACTTCTTTGAAAGCACCACCCAATATATACCCAGAGGTGTGTTCCCAGGGTGATTCCAAATGCACTCCTGGTAAAAAATCCAGATCACCCATCACAGGGTGACTAAGAGGTGACTAAGTGGGACAGGAAAGAACCTCCAGCCAGGTTTCATCTCTTGTCAATACATCCTCAGTTACCTTCAAATCATGTGTTAACCTGTACATAAAACATGGTGCGGGATACGCCTGTAATCTCAGCAGGCTAGGGAAGGAAAATTGTGAGTCTGAGGCTAGTTTGGGCTACATAGTAGACTCTAGGCCAGCCGAAGCTATATAGCTAGACCTCTTCTCAATGCCCCAAATGGAAACAAACAAACAAAAAAAGCCAATCCCCTCAAAAGAAATAAGGAAACCTTGCACAGTTTTGTGTGCCCCTTCAGTATTCATCATGGACTTCATGGTTGAAGTCTTGAGATTGGGGAAAAAAAGCAAGAAAAAATATGTGTGGTGACAGTGGTCAGCACATCTATGGTTGGGTGGAAGGCCTGTGGGGGATTCCCACCTCTCCTGCTGTTTCTACTTCTCAGGCCCATTTAGTCAGAAGGCTATTGATCTTACAATATTATGTAGCCAGAAAAAGTCATGTTGCTGACAGCTGTCTTCCTGCTCTGTTAAATTAAAAGTCATCCACGGTGACTGGCTTGGTTAAAGCTATTATTATAATGAATATGAACCAAAGGGGCATGAAATTTATCCTTAAAATGCTCCCATGAAGATAGATCATTGATAAGCTGGCGTGGTGAAGCCAACAGGTTCCAATTTCATTCAAAGCACCATGACGAACAGGAACTTAGCCGTGTCCTGTATGTCTTTTCCCCTTGGTTTCTAGATCTGGATCTCCAGTAGAAGCATGTCCCAGCTTTGTCCTAGCAGCTGCTGTGTCAGCATAAACATGCACAGGATTTACTGTGGATTAAAACACTTGAACATCATGATCCTCCGGTATAATTTTTTTTTCTACTTTGGGATATAATGAATATTCCTGGGTGGTAAGCTATTTAGTAGCGTGCATTTTCAGGAAACTTATTTCCCAGTTGTCGTTCTCAATCTGTGAGGGTTTTTTTTTTTTTTAACTTGCCGACTTAGGTGAGATGTGTGTGCATTTTTGCAGCATGTCTTATCAACCTATCCAGACCCTGTTCTTATCACAAATGTGTTTTTTTTTTAAAAAAAAAAAATCACAAGACAGGACCTCTGATTTCCGATGGGACACTCTAAGTTAGCTGGGGTCAAGTTTATGTCACATGGAAGCACATAAAATAACCCCTCCTTCCACAGGGATACTTCTGCAGGCCTATTCCCCATTTTCAGAGGCCAGGGGAGTCTGTGAAGCATCTTATAGATTGTTACATTAAAAATAGAATGGGTATTAGCATTCAGTCTTATAAACTTCAAAGTTTGTCTTTGACTCCGTTAGGATATTGGTACAAAGAATGTAATTCATCACCAGGCTTCTTTGTTGACTGGGCAGCTCGACAAGAGGCATCATTCACTGAGTGAGATGGAAGGAAGGGATGGAAGACCTTGGTTCATCTGCTTAGTTTCTCTGTGTTTCTTCTCTTTCCTGCTGCTCTGGGCTTGCAAGCCCTTGCTTCTAAGCCGTGGACATTTTTTTCTTATTTTCTTTTCTCTTTTCCTTGTTTTCTTTCTTGTCTTTTTTCCTTTTTTTGTTTTTTAAAATTTCTTCTTCTCCTTCTTTTTTAAAGATTTATTTATTTAATTTATGTACACCATTGCTCTCTTCAGACACATCAGAAGAAGGCATAAGATCTCATTACAGATGGTTGTGAGCCACCATGTGGTTGCTGGGAATTGAACTCAGGACCTCTGGAAGAGCAGTCGCCATCTCTCCAGCTCTCTTTTTCTTATTTTCAATCATGTTTTAAATACACTTTACATTCTGATCACAGGTCCCCTCCCCCTCTCCTCCCATCTCATTCTTACAAACCCCTCCCCCATGACACTCTCCCTTTGTCCTCAGAGAATAGGAAGCCCCCCTTAGGTACCACCCCACCCTGGGACATCTAGTCTCAGCAGGACTGGGCACATCCTCTCCTACTGAGGCCCAACCAGAAAGTCCAGGTAGGAGAAAGGGATCCAATGGCATGAAGTGGAGCCTTCGTCCACATGGAAATAAATACTGATTCCTGGGACCACAAGCATAGTGTATTTTCTAACTGCTTTGGTCCCACTGGGGGAAAAAAAAGCAAGTAAACAAACAAACAAACAAAAAACCCTCTATTAAATAACTAGTTTATTCTTCTCTTACACCTTTCTTTCCCTTAGGTGTGGATTTTTTTCTTTTTGATCAAGGCAAAGGACAGAAAGTGCTTTGTGAGC